CTGTAATAAACCACATTTTAGAGTTGTTGTCATTCTTTATTAATACCATCTGGCAGGCCTTTCAAGGTTCCTTATAAATGAAAAAATCCATTTATAAAACAAGTTAAAATCTACAATACAAACAATTGCATAGTACTCCACAGAGAACTGTAAGTGAAAAAGACAGGTCCTTGTTTTAAAGAGTTTATTCTGTGAATTCAGAAAGTGAGCTGAGATCACAAAAGGAAAGGAGGTTAAGGATGCATAGATGTAAATACAGTCTTTGTGCTCTTACGGAGCTTCTGATATTTCAAGCTTCCACACTTCATCAGATTTTTTTCAGTCTATCGTGAATATGTTATGAAATAAATTTGGCAGGGACTGTGAGCTGAGTGAGCATGGAGAAGGGAAATAGTTTCACAGAGGTACAAGTTTATAGTCTCTCTATGTACCTTGTATGTCTCAGAGTCTGAGTATAAAGGTTGTATTCTCAATAACAGGATTATTCATTGGTGATGTAATAATGATTGTACTTGCCTTTTGGTTATTAAAATGTTTGCTTTGCTTGCTTTGAATGCCAACCAAAGTTAGTCATAGCAATTCTTGGAAAGGATGTGCACAAACTGGTAATAGAAGTAATAATCATTTGGTCATAACAGCTACTTTGGAAAACAGCACTTCCAGCAAGGACACATCTGGTTGGGATCTTGGTGTTTCATGAAAAATAATTGTTTCTCAGAACTGTTGTATTCCTGAACATTTGGGGGAGGCATGGCTGTGCACGGACAATTGATGTTAAATATCCCCTTCCCCCCCAAATAAAATTATGTGTGTGTCTTATGGGAACTTGGGCCCATAGATTGGCTTCATTTATTACAGACAGAGTTAGTGTGTGCCATGCTAACTTGTGACAAAGTCTGCAGAGTGTGGAATGGATGAGGTTGTGTTTTCTTGTTATTCCCCCTTGATACATGTACACTGTTGTAGTGCTGGCTATTTGGTTAAATCATGCCTGGTCGATGGACTTGGTTAACTATTGATCAGATAATCGTCAGCTCTTTAAAGCAGTAATTTAAGAGAGCTATGAGAAAGGAAAGAAAGCATGCTGCTAATTCTCAAACATCAGGTAAGTTAATAATTAGCATTTGTATAGTGCTTTATGTGTGTTAGAAGCATTTTACTGTGGGTTGGATTCAGGTTTAGTCATACTTTGAGTAGGCCAATTTAAATAAATAGGATTCAAGTTAGTTTAACTTAAGCCTCGCTTACTTCAGTGCATCTGCTCTGAGTAAGACTAAATCCAGAACCAATCCATTGGGCATGACGGGCATATTTTACTTCTAGTTCTGGAGGCAGTATGCCATTAAACTGGTTGCCAGGGAATGTGAGTAGGGTGCTGTTGTGGACACATCCTGATGTGTAAACCTTCCACAAGCAGCTAGTGCGCTACGCTGTAAACAAAATGCTGGGCTAGATCAGAATTTGGTCTGATCCAGCACAGCTCTGCTTATTCTTACTAACATCAGTATAATGCAGAAGTGGGCAATCAGTGTCCCTTTGGAGGTTTTGGCCTACAGTGCCAATCATCCACAGTCAGCATAACCTGCTGTGAATGATAATGGGAGTTGCAGTCCAGCACAAGTAGCACATCCCTCTGTAATAGTGGGTAACCCTCCCCCAAGTTTTGTTGGTGGGCACTTGAGCAATCTTTCCTGCTTAAAGAATTATTTACTAGGATAAAATCCATAGATGGAGGTGTGCTGCCTTTGGATGATAGGTGTAATCGGCCAGCACACTTGGAGAGCACCAGATCATGGAAAGCTGGTTTGTGCATTCATTTCTGTGTTAAGATCCTCAAGAAATTATCCTCTTTGCCTTAATGGAGAGCGGGTTCGTACCCATGCATCTCTGTCACTTGATCAAGCGACAGTTTGTAGTTAGGATACTGTAGGTAGAACATAGGTACTGCCTCAGCTCACCTGAGAAGCACGAATCTCCATGGAGCTAGTTCTTCAGCATGAGAAATCTGGTGTTTGTTTGTGTATGTGTGAATCAGGCCTTTCTGTGCAATATATAATGCTGTGAAATATACTGTATAATTTTGGACCGATCCCATCTTTCAAGTGAACCTAGCATCGCAAGACTGGCGTGAGCACATCACCCTGTCTGTGCCACCCAGAGTTGCTCGGAAGGAGGGACAGCATAAAATTGTCGGGTGGGAATTTCACTGTATACGTTTTCTTGATCTGGAATGCAAGGCTGATTGATTGGAAGTTAAAAATCTGAACTAAATAATCTGAGGAATAACCCCATTAAAATTACGAATTCTACAGTGCCTCCAGTCACTGGGTTCCTTCAGCATCTTGAATGTCTGACTTAAAGTTAATTTCTTTTTTAAAAAAACCCTAGCAAAATTACAGAAGAAACGATCTTCATATATTCTCTGAAAAATAGTTCTGCTTATTTGTCATGTATGAGAAGAACTGATCATTTCCTGGAAGGGTACAGTTTTAGAAATGCTTATTTCGTATTTTCTGTGTCGTAACAGAGTTTGTTTTATTGATAAAAAGAAAAAGAGAAGTGCTTATTTTGCATGTATTCTCTGCAGGGTCAAATAATTTCATCAGCTTTTCTGCAGAATACATGTTTAAAAGCAGGAGTGGTGGTAGAAGAACTATTGTTAATTTCTGATCTTGAAAACATGTGCAGGAAATCTGAGAATGTGTCAGTTTTCATTTTGTAGGAAACTTAGAATTTCTGTAGTATTTCTTGTGGGATTACATCACAGTTTAATTTAATTTTTAGGATAAAACTTAAATTCAATATTTGTATATAAGCCAGGGATGGTATGTAAGCCATCGTAAACACAAGCACTTTCTGGTAAGTTCCAGGAATCCTGTATATACTTAGATCATTTATATGAGGAAGGACTAGCTGCAACCATTAGTCATCTGGCTATGATATTTTTACATTAGCAGGTTAATTGCATTTTTAAAAGTGCAGTTTCTCTCCACCCCCCTCCGTCTCCCCCAAACCTCTTTGGCAATGTGCTGAATATTTCTTTGCTCAATCCTGGTTTCTAATTTCTTTGAAGATATCAGCCCTGTTATTTCTGAGCAATTACTTAAATGACAGTAACACTAAAAAATCCAAGAACATGCAATGTGATGTCAGTATATCGTTTTATGATGGAAAGCAGAGCTACCTTCATGCGGGGCGGTGCGGGGGGGTGACGGATCTGTGCATCACTCGCAAAGAGGAGACAGATTAGCCAACTGGAATGTCCTGGTGTATATTCCTGGATGTAAATTTTGGAAAAACACTGTAATTTAGCTAAGAAATGCAGTTCATTGCACCACACTGTGGAAGGATGTGATCAGGGGACCTGGGTGCTTGGCTTGTTGATGGGCAATTTTGACAACTTTGATCCACGCTCTCCCTTCTTATTGCTCATGAAGCTGAATTTAGGCAGGATGCCCCTTCAGTTAGAGCACTATTCTCAGTAAAACAGGACTCACGGCCAGCCTCTGGATTATAGGACCCCCTCTCTGTCACTGTACCTATGATGTTCTGAGCTGTTTTGTTTGGCTTTATGTTTGGCTGCTGGCCTTCTCTTCCTTCTTCATAATCTTTCAGATACTCCTGAGCATTTCCAGGGTACCTTCATCTCTGTTGAGCCTTCTGCACTTCTGACTTGACCAGCACAGATCAGCCCAGGAGTGGTGGAAGTCCATCATTGTTCCCATTATGGCTTATTTTGGGCGGGGGGGGGGGGGGGGTTGAACCCATCCCCCAGTGTACCACAAGGGGTGGAAATGGCTCCCCTCCTCTGCAGATCCTCATAGATATGCACGGGAAAGGGGGGGTGTGTATGTGTGTGAAAATGTGTGCTAATGCTATGGGTTGTGGGTGGGTATATGATGTAGACGGGCTGTGCAAGAACCTGAAGCAAGAGGCGGTTTGCATCATCACTGAAGGCCCTCCATTGTACGGCTCCCTCTTCCTGCTGCACATCTCCACACCTGGACCCCTTACCTTCGTCACCACACCTGGCTGAGCTCCCACAGGAGCTCACAAGAGCACTCGTTTGGGCTGCACAGCTTTCAGGATGCTCTCTTGCAGATGTGGCAGGTGTTACTCTGGGAGAAGGATCGGCTAGACCTCTGGGGTCTTTGTGGTGGGTCCCCCTGGACGGGATGGCCAGGGAGCTGGCGCAGCATGCCATCCTTTGGCTGCGTGTGAGTCTGCATGATGATGGGGCGAGGGGGACTGTGCTCCCTTTGAGCTCCAGCTGTGTTCCCAGCGGGTGGGCAGCCTGCAGGAGATTTCCCAGGTGGCCGTTCAAGCCTTAGGCTGGAAGAAGTGTCCCCATTCCTATTAGAGATGGATGAAAGATCGAATTGAAGCATAAGCCATACAGTTTTGAGGAACGGTGTTGGGTCAGTGTAGTCCACCCTACACCGTCCAATAAACTCCATAAAACCTCTGTAGCCATTAGTTGTAACAGCTCGCGCTTCAATATATTGACACAAGACCTTCATAGTCATAGGCTGAGCGGCTGAGTATCAGATAAAGTTCATGACTGTTCCAGCCACTTAGAAATTTAAGATCAAATGGTCAGCATTTGACCTTGGTGAAAGGTGGGGCTCTGTCTGTTGGGTGGAATGGAGATCAGAAGAAAAATGCATTTCCGCAGAAGTGTGAAATCCATGGTCAGGTTGTGTGGATGTGTGTTATATGTATACGAAAGTGGTATGTGTGACTAGGAAGTGTACATGAATATTGAATGGGACAAGTGAATAAGCAAGGGAAAGATCAGTAGATTCAGAGGAGATAATGCATTGAAAAATGCACTCACTTCGCACTGATCTCCAGTTGGCTAAAAGAGTCCATTTTGGAATAACAGAAACCTAATGAATGGTTCGAACCAGATGGGCACTGCAAGATGGGTAGTAACTTTCTACCATGCTTCATGGAACGAGACGTGACTCTTGCTTTTCTCTTTTAATGGTCTCTCACAGGATGAAGTTATTGCTGCTTCAGAGAAGGTGACAGTGAAGCTTGAAGACTTGGCAAAATGGGCCCAGACAGACTTCTCAAAATGGAAACATGGCCTCCGGGGCGAAGCCATCAGACTCACAGAACTGGGAAAGAATGGGCAGAAAGAAGCACTGAGTAGATTCAGGCAGTCCACACACAACAGTGGGCTCAACTTTAAGGACATTTTGAAGGAAAAGGCCGACCTTGGTAAGTGCCACTTCTTGTTCTGACTGGCTTGACTGGAAAAAATTGGATGGTGAAGAAATAGGTGGCTGAGATTCCAGATTCTGCACTTGCATGCAACAATGGGTTTTCATCTTTGTTTTTCTCAGATACACATCCCTTCAGGGCTACCTGTCAGGCTGCCCTTGAAATTGGAAAGGGGTTCAAACTTTATTTGTACATTGGGAGGCGACTGTGCAAAAGTGAGGAAGTAAATTTACTGTACTGAGCATGCCCAGAACGGTGTCATCCTGTTAAACTGAAAACTTGAAACAAGGAGCCAAGCTGCTGAACTAGTCTGCTGCTTCAGTAGAACTCAGCTCACGATCTAGTTGAAGTGCCATGCTTACCTCCAGCAAGAAAATAAGGCACCCTTTGGTGTCCTGAATAACTGGGCAGTTCATAGAGTTTACGCTTTTCCCCATTATGGATGGTGAATGTGTGTTTTTATTGAGAACATCCATTTCAGAGTTGAATTGCTAGTTCATGTATCCGCCTACTGGACTTTCTGAGTTTCAGAGATGATTATTAAATAGCTCCAAGGTTTCACTGTAAATAGAAGTTTGAAAAAATTAAAGCAAATGCCCGTACTGTGCCAACTTTATCCTGGTGAGACAATTGACTCTGTCATGTGATAGATACAAGGTTAAGTTGTTCTTGGATATAAATAGATATGGCAGTGTTGACCAGAAATTGCTTTTTCCTGTATCAATCTAAAGCAGGCATTTGTTGAGTGTTATCTAGATGGGGTGCAGCCTCTGTGGGGATGTGTGATTTGTTATGGGCCACGACTTGTGAGCAGAGAGAGGGAAATGTATGCATGGACTTGCTTAGAATGCACTTATTACCTGTTCCAATATGGGATGTGTGAATTTTTAATTCCTGCAGGTTGGCATATTTAGGATGTTGAAGTCGGGCAAACAGTGCATGGCAAGGCAGACACATATTTTAAAATAGGGTTAAATAATGTAACACTGAAGTTGGCGCATCCCCTCTTGCACGTTTTGTGTTCTCTCTTTCCTCCATAATGTTAGAGTGGAAGAAGACATGTCTGGCTGAAATTCAGGGTGTGTCACCTCTAGCTAAAGGCAGGAACTGAGGGGGAACCAGCCAGGTGAGCGAGGAAGCATTGGTTGAGTATGGGTGAGAACAGGTTAGGTAGTACTCCATAACCCCCATATACGCGGAGAAAGTTTCCAGGTCAGGCTTGCTAACTAGTCTGCATAATGGAGGGACTCCACTGTTCTATTACATTTAAGCACACCATTCTCTTTTTGGTTTTGTCTTTCCCACCCACCCCATCCATCCAAAAAGAAGAAAACCTCATCAGGACATAAATCTCCAGGGGATCAAAGCAGCTTTATAGGGTATTAATGTTGAATATTATTTTTCTTTATGTAATTCGCAGTGTTACTAGGATAGTGTCTTCAGTGGCATTGGGAGTTTTCCATTTCACAGTGAATGTCCTCACATCTGTTATGCATGTTAGAAAATGTCATGTTTTAAGGGACATTTCTTTTGTAAATTTATGGCACCCTGGCTTTGTTTTCCACCAATAAACAAACTTCTAATGAAGCAATAAAACAAAGCTAACCATCCAGTGCTGTCTATCCTGCAGCAAAAATGTAAAAATGTTTAAAGATCACAAGCCTTGTTTTTCAAAAAAACCCTTCTATATCGTGGGCAAATCTAATAGGAGCATGAAGAGCTTTGGCTGTTGGGCAGTACAGAAATATAAGGCATACATAAACAGATTGTATAATGGAATATGAATTCATAGAGCACATTGGTGGTACTGTGAGAGAATCCAAAAAATTGACTCCAGTACCCAAAGAGCTGAGCCTTTGAAATATGTATTGTTGTATGGCTGATTGGATTGTCAATAGCTGGGTCCATATGAAGCCCAAAGGCACAAGTGGACATTCAGTTAATTAAACACACAGATTTAGGTAATGAGCACATTTTGTGAAAGGAAAAGGAAGCTTGTTACACTTAAGAAAAGTAATGGGTATTTGCCATGAAAACTACTGGAATGAAACGTAAAAGGAATTGACTGTATTTTGCTTTTCCCATCAATAAATAACCCAAAGGAATTGATTCTTTGTTAAGATTTAGCTTTGTCTAGCAGAGCCATGAAAACAATTCACAGGTCCCATCAGATTGTATGAATTGGGATGAGGCTTTAATGAAAACTAATTGCAAGCATGACTTAATTTCAGTGAGTATAGTTTTAGTTCATGCTCGGGAATGCAAAACATGACTTTTAATAACCCAAATAACCTGCACTTGATTCGTTTTAAAGAACAAGTTTCTAGCTCTTGTGATTCTGCAAACACCCATGGGATGCTCAGAAGCAGGGCATGATGACAATTAGCATTCCCCCGTTGTTTATTCTCGCCATCAGTTAATCAGAGGCATATTTCTTTACACTGGGAATCTTCTAGTGTTCATTACTAGTATGCCATTGCAATGCTACCCCCATTAAATTATCCAGTTCCTTTCACCTCCGGATAGGTGGAGGGGCATCTAATCTGTTTTTATTTTATTTTTTATTTTATACCTTTTTATTCCCCCACTGTCTCCAAAGAAGCTTTGCGTTGTAGAAGGTAGCAGATATTCTGGGACAGCCTTTTCTAATCCGATAAGGAAATGCTTTGGAGCGGAATTTCCCACCAGCAACTTGGATTCCAAGCATGCTAAACACTACAATTATTTGGGCATCCCCAGGTCATTGTTATCCCTTTTTGTGGCTTCTCGCAGAGTCTTGGCTAATTTTATGTCCAGGTATCACAGTACCTAGCATATTTTTGCAGCCTGGCATATTCAAAGGGGCTTGAGGTAGCTAAGAGGTGAAAGAGGAGCAAGGTTTCTTTTCGGGTGACTTTTGGAGGGAACCCCACAGCAGTGGCTCCCAACCATAATCTCAAAATGCCCTCTGAAGGCAGCACTGGTTTAACACGTCCCAAAGGTGATGATGGACAACCTTTGTCCATCTGGAGCAAAACCCAGCCTTTTTAGTCAAGTTCTTGAGATTGGACAGAGGGCAAGCTGAGTCTTAAGAGCTGTGGGACCTCACAGAATTCCTCCTGTGCCATCTTCTCTTAACATTTGTGCTGCTGCCCTGCTGCATTTGCAGTGTTTTGACTTTTCAGGTAAGAGGTACCAGGCTTTGAGCAGCTTCTGGTTAGTCGAGCTTGGTTTGGTTGGTCAAGCTTTGTCAAGATCCACCTCTCTGATGAAGCCAGAAGTTGACCCTAGTTTCTTCCTAGAGGAGCTATTTTTTGAAGGCGGTCTGCCTTTGTCTAGTCTTAGGAAGAGGAATTGAGAGAGGATCAAACAGTTTCTTAAAGCCACATGAGCAAATGACCACACTATGGGCTGAAAACTGTGGAATGTGGAAAGCTACTGTGTACCAAGCTAGACTTCCATCCTCTCTGTCCCAAGGTTGTTTCTTCTGACTAGCAGTGCCTCTCCAGGGTCTTACGCAGGAGTCTTTCCCATCCTCTGTTCCTTTTAACTCTAGTTAACAGGGAGCAAATGTGATTATAAACCAGTTTTCCCATGACCCCCAAACTCAAGCAATCCATCCATCCACCCATCCATTACGGTCATTGACCAGCACAATGACCTCCAAACTCTTCTTTCTGGGTTAAAACCCACAGAGACACTATCAAAGTCGAAATGAACTTGGGTCTTCGAATTCGTTGGCTTGGTTCAAACAGTTATCAGGCTGTTTGGTTCCTCTTTTTGGACAAGTGGCAAGTATTCCCTTTCACTGTACATCTCTGATACCATGTGATTCTGTAAGTTGCCTGCACATGGATGGCTCCATATAAATAAATACTTTAGATACATAAATTATGCATCCAGCTGTATGCACTTGTTTGGTCTTGGGTTTCTTTGTACATTATTCCTCTCTTTTTTGGGGAGAGGAAGAACGGTACAATTTGGTTCATGGAAGTCCTAACACCAGATGTTATGTGTGAGTAACATACACACAGGTAGGTAGGAGAGGGTAAGCAGGTGAGCTCCTGTTATTCCATCATAAGCACAAGTCAGAGCCAGGTCTTTGCTAATATTTTGCCCTGAGATATTCAAGAAACCATCTTCTGTTACAAGCTGGTAATTTCAAGGAGGTGTCATGTAATATATCGCCATTCTCTAAAAGAATTTTAAAAGAGGGTGTTACATGGGGCATCTTTCACATTTTTACACTGACATTGGTTGGTACGTTTGGATAATTTCTGTTGAACAAATGTACAGTGTATACATCTCCTATCCATACTCTTTTAACTTCTTTTTTTGGAGGGGTGGGAATAATTGAACTGAAAATGATAGTTTTTGTACAATATTTTTTCCTGTAGAATTTCTGATGTTCTTGTGGCTTTTAATATTCCTATAGAAGGCAGTAGAATAATATATCCCTAATAAAAACATGTTTTAAAAAATTACCTTAAGGCCACAGTCCTAATATTACTTCAGACTATGCTTCAGTGATTTCATTGGAGTGTGTTCAGAATGGGAAATATTGAAAGGGTATTATTCTGTCTGAAAATGAATAGGTTCTTCAGATAAGTTTGCAAACCTCTTTAAATCTCCATTGCATCGCTTTTTCTCATCCCAATTAAATACTGTGTGATTCTCTGTTCAAGAATAAATCTTGCACTCCATGGTTGTTAAAATTCAAAACCATACTAGCAACCTTCTCAGAAGTTGAGAACCTTCTCAGCCTACTCAGAAGTAAGTCCAATTTGGGTTTACTGGGACTTACTCCCAGCTAAGTAGATACAGCATAGCAGTGTTCATGTTGCATCCTTTCGGTCTTTTGATACATCCTTTTGTATATGAAAATACAACCATGACATTAATTACTATTCCCAGTTATATGGGAAACCATCAGGATGTTAGATCAATGATGTGTATGTGCTGTGATTCTGCAGGAGTGCAGAGAAAATATTGAATGTGATACTTGCCTGGACACAGAA